CCTCTCTCTCTCTCTCTCTCTCTCTCTCTCTCTCTCTCTCTCTCTCTCTCTTTCTCTCTCTCTGTGTGTCTCATCTCTCTGTCTTCTGAACCCCTTGCATATTTTGTATCCCCTTTAAAATATCTATCTTATGTGAAGTATTTCATCTACCTATCGTACAACCTTCTTAAGTTAAAAGCCTCTTAAGAATATAAAACAAATGAGCGTCTTTATTACCTATATTACCATAGTAAATGTTAGTAAATATACCTTGAGTGAAGTAATGTGTCCCACCATAAAATAATACAGAATATTAAATCATTGATTATTTCTCTGAAGGTAATTTTTGGGTGAAACAATCAGTGCTAAAAACAAACACCTGTTAGATAAACATTTATTGTCTCATTAAATGTCTGGATAATGGAGTTAAGTAGTCGCAACATAAATCTTTAAATCTTCGATGTGGATCTTTGGGGGGGAAAGAATACTAAATACTAATGAGCTTTGATTTACAAGCAAGGCGTTTACATATAATATTTCACATTATTACTTTGTAATAATTTATTTGTTCTAACAGATAAAAATTAACCTTTAGCAGTTTATAATTCATTCTAAAATTAACTTGTTTTAGCCTATTTTGTGGCTTGGATGTGACCTGTCTCCCTAGCTGGTGGCACTATTTTGACGGGACTTGGTTCCTCAGAGACTTGGGGTCTATCTGATGTACACAGGCTACCAGGAGCAGGGTCTGGAGGGTTATACCCTGGCTCTATTTCCAGCCCCTTCTGTATTTTTAAGCTGCCAGGATGTGATGAAGCTCTGCTGCAAGCTCCCCTGCCCCCATGCCTTCCTCACTGCCATGCTCTTCTTGCCACCATGGATGAGATACACAGAACTGTGAGCAAACAGAAGCCCTTTTCTAGCTAGGTCGCAACTGTTCTTGTCACTATGAGAAAAGTAACACACACATACATATGTACACACATATATATATAATAAAAACAACGTTACACACACATATATAATAAAAACAATGTATGTTGAGTACCATGTGATATTTTAATACATGTATCGAATCAGGGTAAACAAATCTATCTTCTCATTTATTGTGTCTGTATGGCAAAGACATCCTAAACCCTCTTATTCAAGTTTTCAGAAATATCCATGACTGTTCATCGCCACCCTGATCTTTACCACACCAAGCCTCCTGCTCCAGCCTAACTGCAGCTCAGTAGCTGTTTCTAAGTCTCTCTCTATCAGCATCCCTAACCACTGTTCTATTCTTTACCTCTCTGAGAGCAGCAATTTTAGCCTCCACATACGAGGTGCTTGGCTCTCTGGACCTGCCGCACACCGCGGCCCCGTTCTGCGCTCTATGCTCTAGACCCCAGTTCACGAGCTTTGGGCAAGGGGCTGACGGTTGAGAATACACACGCAGAGACAGACCAACACGCAGACCTTTTAACACTGATACCAAAAGCCCCCTTTATTAGCGCCATGTAGGCTTAAATACACTGCAGTCAATGCCCAACAGGTGAAAATCCCATCCTCTGATCCTCTAAGCTAGGCACAGCTTCCGGTAACTTTAATTAGAAGGTTCTAGGAGGGAAGAGCAGCTGAAATCCAGGACTCATTAGTCCCAACATGGACCTGGTTTATTTCAGATGGCATAACTATCTCCATTTCCATCCACACTGTTATAAATGGCATACCTTTCTTCTCTCTTTTTTTTTTTTAAAAAAAAGATTTAAACAAACAAAAAATAATTACCTGTGTTGGGGTGGTTGGTTGGGGAAGATGTGCATGTGAGTGCAGGTGCCTGTGGAGACCAGAAGAGGGCGCTGGATCCCTGAGACTGGAGTTACAGGCAGTTGTGAGCTGCCTGAAATGTGTGTTGAAAACTGACCTTGGGTCCTCTCCAAAAGAAGTGTGTGCTCTTAAGCCCTGAACCATTTCTTTTGCACCTCCTTCTGTTTTCATAAAGCCAAACCAGTTCACAGCACATACACAGCATTTCACTCATTCATTCATCTGGTGGTGGAGACGCTTGTTTCTATCCCATGGCTATTGTAATTCCATAGTAAATATGAGAATGAAGGCACTGCCTCAACAGCCTGATTTTATTTTCCTTTCAGCTATACCCAGTAGTGAGGTTACAGAATTACATGAGGGTTCTACTTTCAGTGTCTTGAAGAGCCCCTCACTGCTTTCTATTTTCAAACTAATTTATATTCTCACCAACTGTGCTAAAGCACTTCCTTTCATGCAGATTCCCTTCAATTACAACAATAATGTAATGTTATGCTGATTTTTAAACATTAGGGGGATTTTCCAGAGAGTTTTGTGTTATTGATTTCTAATTTGAATGTTGTGATTAAAGAATAAATAAATAAAGTTTGAGGTTATTGGTTTTATGCATCAGAGTATGAGCTACCTTGGTGGTGTTACTGGTGAAACAATTCTTTTGTAGCTGGGACTGTTCTGTAAACGCCAGAGAAACCACGTTCCTGTGGTTTAAAGTGTTGAGAATTTCCATATTTTCCTGGTGTTGTGTTGTCAAGAAAGAAATCTTAGAGAGAGTGCCTGCATGAATGTGTGTATGCTTGTGTGTGTGTATGTGTGTGTGTGTGTGTGTGTGTGTGAGAGAGAGAGAGAGAGAGAGAGAGAGAGAGAGAGAAAGCCTTTCCTCACACACATCATGATATTTCCAGCTGTGATTTTAGATTTGTTTCTCATTCCAATTACATAATGTGTTTAAAACTGCATTATGTATAACACATTCTGGGTTATTATGTAATCTTGATGAGCTGACTAAATTAAAATGTTCTTCATCTTGTTCTTATTCTGTAATTACCTTTTTTCCTGATGTATATTTATGCTTTGTTTTGATTAATGTTTTCATGACTCTCTTTTCTGTGTTTCACTTGTAAACATCCTGATAGGTTTATATTTGAAGTGATTTTTGTTATGTAGCTTATACTGAACTTCATGTTTTGTCTGATCTGACAGCCTTTGATTTTTTATCTTTGTGTTTGTGTGTATTATGTGTGCATGTCTTGTTCAAGTGAAGCTTTCTTATTTTCTCTTTATTTCCTTTATTTTTTCAAAGCAGGGTCTTGCTGTGTATCCTAGTCAGGGCTAGAACATTGCAAAAATCCAAATGGATGCTAATATAAGCACACTATATCTAGACAAAAAAAATGCAGATTTTTAATATTACAAAAGAATTCCTCCACATGCAACTGTTTCAAATGCCAACCCAATAAGTTATCTCTCAGAATGTCTAATTGTTACATAGATACAGCAGGGAATATACACTTGCTCGGTGTAACTGAGCAAATATACTTGATTGTGTAAGAATCCATTGTTTTCCACTTAGTACAATCAAGGCCTTGGTGTGTTTCTTCTGAAGCTCAAGTTTCTCTTACTTGAAAGTGCTGTTTTCTACATGACATCAGGCATGGGAATGGCTTGGGAGGGCTCCACTGGCAGCGGAGGAAGTCACTAATGAACAGGCGTGTTTAGAGAACTCAGACCATGTATGGGTATGTATGGGTACGTAGGCAGCATGGGTGCTAGGTGAAGAGGATGAGCATGGGCACATGTGCACATATGCTTGCATGTAGTTAAACGTGTGTGCATAGAGGATCCTGTGTGACATTCAGGGCCTTGAGAATGGACTTACCCAGTTGCCCCGTGCAAGGACTCTGTTAGGAGAAATTGCTACACATTTACAAACTGCACCAAGAAAAGAACAATAGTGAGGATGCAGAAAAGGGTGATGTTAAACGTTACTGATTAAGACAAAGATCTTTAATAAAAGTACAGAATTAATGATGGTAGTCTGTCTTTTGCTAGCATGAGTTTTTATATGTCCTTAAATTAATTTATTGGAGACTGGAGAGATGGCTCAGCAGTTAAGAGCACTGCCTGCTCTTCCGAAGATTCTGCGTTCAATTCCCAGCAACCACATGGTGGTTTACAACCATCTCTAATGAGATCTGGGGCCCTTTTGAGGAAGAGACCTGGTCAGTCACCCTCATCAACTTAGACTATGGAACCCAATATGGACAAGTTCAACAAAATCACCATATACTGGCTGCCTATGCATGCTTCAGCATTGCCAGGGCATAAATTTCTTTCTAGAAATTAAAATTAATTTATTATATGTAGTAAGAGTCCGCTTTTGAATTCTTGGCTCTCCAGACTGAAATAACCACACAGAAACTATATTATTTGCAATACTTTTTGGCCAATAGCTTAAGTGTATTTCTGTCTGACTCTTATATCCTGAACTAACCCATCTCCATAAATCTGTGTATCGCCATGTGGTTGTGGCTTACTGACAAAGTTTCGGCATGTCTGTCTCTGGTAGCTCCATGGCTTCTCACTGACTCTGCCTTCTTTCTCCCAGCATTCAGTTAGTTTTCCCCGCCTAACTAAGTTCTTCCTTGCTATAGGCCAAAGCAATTTTGTTATTCATTAACCAATAAAAGCAACACTTAGACAGAAGGGCCTCCCACACCGTTTCCCCTTTTCTGTATAAATGAAAAAGGAACACTTTAATTTAAAAATAATAAAATTACATATAACAAATCATGTATTAAGTAAGATTTACAGTTACAATATTTATATCTACTTCATCTTTTCTCATAACTAAGGAAAACTATAATTACAACTATCTATTCTTCAACTCCATCGAAGACCCCAGAAGGATATAATATTATCTAAGTTAACAGGAAGTGCATTGTAAGCAACTTCCAAAACTTTAGAATTGACACAGATATCTCATTGCCTAGACAGCCACCCAAAATTCTTCTGTAACATTGGGGCACCCATCTTTAGGCCACAGGCCCGTAGTATCCAGCAGATTTTTCCATGAAGCAGGAATTTTCTAAGACAGTTCCACCTATATTGGCAGTTTGTCTGTCACTTTCTTCTGTATGCAGAATGTCTGGCAGACTCTTTCATGAAGTAGGAACCCTGAAGGATCGTCTCACCTTTAGGCAAGTTCAGCAGTCATTTTTTTTGTGGGTTCTGCATGTCCAGTTCATACAACATAACATTAAAAAGTTCAAGAAAGAGCGGTTTTTTGTTTTTGCCCAAAGGGCTAGCAAACTCCATAAGGAGCCTCTTTGATGCCCATCTTCCTCTTGAAGTTATTGGTGCTGCCAGGAGGAGATGTGTCTCATTGCCATGAAAAATAATTTAAATGCCATATTCTGAAGGTCTTTTAAAGATTTGAAGAATACCTATATAACTGAAATATATATCAAGAATACCTAACTAACATGACTATAAGCTTGACTATTATAGATGTTTATCTACTCACCTGTATTTCTTAATTATACATTATGGTTTTAAACGAGCAACATAAACACACTACCTTAATCAAGAGTTGAAATACACAATTAAAAAATTCATCTTAAATTTGTATCAATAAACCAAGATGCATACCAATGCAAATCTCTATAGCAATTATAGAATTATATTTATATTTCACTTCTATATTTCCATGAGTTACCTTTTACTGAAAAGTATACTTATTTTCATTAAAATTCTAATATGCTCTGTGTCTAAAATATAAGAAAAATAGTGCTGATTAGTGAAGAAGACATTTAAACTCAGCCAAAAGATGGTGGCATAGCTAAGTTACCTGGAGCCTAATGTCTGCTCCTCAACGGGCAAGTAAAATAACGAGGTTTTAGCTCCATCTACGAAACTGGGTGACGCCATGTAATCAATACATTAACACACTGCATGAGTTGGTTCCAGAACAATCACTAATCTCTTTGACACATATTAAGATCCTCAGTAGTTAACACTTCGATTTCTGCCCTGAACAACACTACAGCTATTTTTTTTTCTGGCCGTCCATTCACTATCACCTGCTCTCCCTTTGGGAGCTGCTGTGGTTGAACCTATCCTGACTTCTCTGCCCATGCTCAGAGCTTGCATTTCCAACCATATTCATATCTGTGCCACATCTCCTGCCCCCCTCAAAGCTATTTATACCTCACCTTTACTTAGCCTTAGTAATCGTTTCAAGCATGGTCATTTGTGCCAGCAATGTCAAATCAGTTCCAGGCCCTTTTCTGAGCAAATTCTTGCAAATATTTAACTATTTATCTACTGTAGAATTTCAAATTGGGAAGTGATCTTAATGACATCTGATCTCTGATGCCCTCTCCCTTTTTCAAAAGTTCAGTCATGCTTTAAAATATTGTGCTGGAGTTGGAGAGGGGCCCATACTGTTGGAGCTCAAAAAGGGGGAGGTAAGAGTCCCTGCGAAGAGATAACCAGTCACGAGACATTAGGGCCTGAGAAGAACAAGACACGTAGGGAGGGATCCCTTCAGCACGGCCATAGATCATAGATCACAGATGTCTTGTAATCTTTCAGAGTCATGACAAAGACCCAGAAACCGTCTCCGACTAAAGAGCAAAGGATGTGACGACCAGATATGAACCATTACGCTTCACAGAATGCCCTGGAACTAGAAAGATAAAAGTAAACACGGAGACTGGTTCTGTATGATCCAGGGTCACTGCCAAGTTCCCAGCTTGGTGATTCATCACAGCTGTATATGGGGGGGGGGGGATGGCCTTATGGCAACACATACACGGTAGTATGGAAACGTTGCCTCCAGTGCGCTCACTGAAGTGGTTTTGAAAAGAATGTTCTTTCTGCTGTATGTTCAGATTTTGTAGTCATTTCAAAACTGAAAACAGTGTATGTGTATTACTTTTAAGCTAAGTAATGGCTATTGGAGATGCGACCACTGAGGTCGAATAGGCTAGAGTATCTTTTTCTCCTACACTGCTTATCATCATCACCTTTCAGTAGTTTTTATTTAGGCCAAGAATGGCAAACACAGAGTGAAGATGACGGCCACCACCCTTCATTAAAAGTATAACACGATGTATGACTGTGTCAGCTATAACGTGTGACAGGTGAGCTTTGAATCTCACTGATTTCACTTGCATGCATGCAGTCTTGGGCAAGCTGGTCACTTGCCTGTGTCTTGACTGCATCAGAGTTAGCACAAGGGCGATGGTGGTATCTCATGGAATGATTATGAGATCTACGACAACCCAGTTGATATTCGAGGATAGTGCCGTGCATGGCCCAGGCTTAATCAATGCTATTATGTTATTCGTGCTAGCCATGACTTTATTCATGGAGTAGAGCAGTCTTCTCACTGAGCTACGAATCAGTTTCTACATATTCTGCATCATCCACCTATTAATCAGCCACAGATAGAATTAAGACGAAGTCTATTTATTTCAGGTCTTTCAGTAAATATCGTTCAAAAGAAACAAGGACCAGAACTAGAAAGCATAAACCTGTACTGTTCCCATGATTTTAAACCATGCAACAAATTTTCCCTGATCAGTTATTATGTTCTTGGCTCAATTCCAGGTCTTTTCAGTGAGCCAGGCACGGGGATCTCTACATGGAATCTGATTAGACGATAGTGGACAGAGGGTGGAAACAGTAAAGCATCGGCAAATTATATAGCATATTAAAAATTAAAATATTCCAAGATAGTTGGGAGCACCTTTACTTTCCAAATCCACGAGCTCCTGGCTGTGAAATTCCCACAAGTAGAACGCTGAGGAAAATTAGCCTATGAGGAGCACTGGGAAGCAGCATTACTCGTGGAAAGCCGGATACTAAGACTGGAGGGATCAGAAGTGCTTGAAGATGTTTTAGAGTTAATGACATAGACATTATTAGCGATGCTGATGAATAGAATTTTCCAGAATATTAAGGGTAGAAGTCACATTTCAATGTTTACAGAAAGAAATGGGAAAAGACAGGCTATGTAAACAAAACTTTGATCACCCCACAGAGGAAAAAACTTAAATGTGAGCAGGAGTGGAAACCTTTGATTTCTCTTATAAAAATTATTTATCTTGATTTTATGTATATTGGCATTTTGCCTGCATAGATGTCTGTGTGAGGATGCTGGATCCCCTGGAACTGGAATTACAGACAGCTGTGAGCTGCCATGTGGGTGCTGGGAATTGAGCCCAGGTCCTTTTGAAAAGCAGCCAGTGTTCTAACCGCTGAGCAATGTCTCAAGGCCTGATTTTCATTTTTTATAGTGACCAAAATTCTGTCTGAAGAAATAAACACAATGTTGGTGAGATTATTTGCTTCCTAACACACATACTTTGAAGTAAAAATATGAAAATCATAGTCATAATTGAGAATATATTACCTTGTAGACGTTAGAATATATTACTAATAGAATATATTAGTATTAGACACTTCTCAAAGAGCTGGCATCTGTCACTTTTTATTTTCCTTACAGTCATTGGAATTCTTTGGTTGAATACAATAAAACAATACAGACTCGATTAACATATCTGAGTTAGATTGGAAGTAGCCCAGATATCAAGGAAAATATTTATTCAACAGATATTCCACTCTGGAAAAATTAAAAGAGCCGTTAAAAGATGTCAATACTCAATGATATAGGCAAACATGTCCACTCTGGTCTGAGCACACATCATCATATGGCCAGGAGAGAAATAGGAAGCTGCACAGAGAAAGAGGAAGACGGTGTGAAATTAGGTAGAGGAAAAGAGAGGTATGAGACCCTGGGCACCGCTTAAGATGGATTCTCAGTGGATCAAAAACAAACAAACAGTTAATAACTGTCTGCACGCTTTCAATTACCAGCTGCACCCAGTGTTTAATGACGATCATCTTCTTTTTCATAGTCGACAATTCATCTTGACTGAACAAATGAACTAGCACTTAATACTTATGCAAGAATAAAGCGATGATAAGTTTTTATTTATGTCATCCACACAACCACAATGTGAACTACGCCTGTTACCCTATGCACAGATATAGAAATTCAGAGGCAAGCATAATAAATCCAAATACTGTGTACATTACTAACAGAATACATATGTTATTTCTAAATCTTACGATGTTATTGGAAGATAGACATTATGAATATTTGATTGCTTTTAAAAATGAAAATGTAAACACACATGCACAGACACACACACACACACTGATTAGAAAAGCTAAATAGTGGTTTCAAAGAGCCAGCTGGTTCTTCTATCTCATTCTGGGCATGAGGAACAAACAGGGTCAAATATCATACTCCCACTCTAAACAAACGGAGACCTAGACAAAATATAGGACAGATCTATTTTCAGCTATTGGATAGTAGCCAGGGTAAGACTACTATCCTGAGAGGTGGAAGCCAGCGAGGCTATCTGCCTGGGGAAAGTTCTCGACTGTGGTGCCAGGAGGAGAAACATCCCTCCACAGAGTGAAGGAGTCTGGGAGGTGAAACATCTAGACTTGTAAGGCAGACTACCCGATGAGAGGGAGCAACAAGGAGAGTTCCCAACACCTCCCTCAGTGCCTCCCTGGTTCTCCGGGGGAGAGTAATGTGGAATGCCTCAGGGAAGAACCACAGAGCACAGCAAATGGAACCTTCAAAGAAAAAAAAAATCTAGGGGAACTTTAAGATAAACACAGTCAATTTTGAGTTTTCTCAAATTCCCACAGCCACAGGGAAGAAATCTTGCTGATTACAGAGAGAATTATGTAAAGATTCCCCGAACATGTTACATGTGTGACTAAACCCTAAAATAAAGTCTACTCTAACACTGTCCTAACAAGGCTTGAGACCAATACAGGGACACACAGCTAATATAGCTGCCTACCCTAAAATAAAGTCTACTCTAACATCGTCCTAACAGGGCTTAAGACCAATTCTTTACAGAATCAGGGACACACAGCTAACATAGCTGCCTACCAGAACAAGAGCCAGCATTTTATTACAACATAAAGTCTAGCACACAAAACATCAAGCTATAGTTTATTAAATGCCTGGCATAAATAAAGACTACTGAGCTGTGATAAAAATAAAATGTGATCTGTAATCAGAAGAGTTACTTAATAGAGTGTGAGGTCACACTGCAATGTCAAAATAGCTTTCTTTTGTGCCATTTTGACTTCTTTTTAAAATTTTATACTTTTAAAAAAGAAAACAAACTATCTTTTTTTCATTACACATACCAATCCAAGTTCCCACTCCCTCCTCTCCTCCCACTCCCTCCACATACCCCCCACCTCACCCCTATCCACTCCTCAGAGAGGGTGAGGCACATTGCTTTGGGGGAAGGTCCAAGGCCCTGCCTACTGTATCTAGGCTAAGAAAGGTATCCATACAAAGAGAATAGGTTCCCAAAAAGCCAGTACATGGAGTAGGGATAAATCCTGGTGCCACTGCCAGTGGCCCTTAGTCTTCCCCAGCCATGCAACTGTCAACCACATTCAGAGGGACTAGTTTGGTCCTATGCTTGTTCCTTCCCAGTCCAACTGCTGTTGGAGAGCTCCCATTAGTTCAGATAGACTGTTTCAGTGGGTGAACCCCTCATGGTCTTGATCTCTTTACTCATATTCTCATTCCTCCCACTCTTCAACTGGACTTTGGGAGCTCAGTCCAGTGCTCTGAAGTGGGTCTCTGCCCTGTTTCCCTCAGTTGCTGGATGAAGGTTCTATGGTGATATTTAAGATATTCATCAGTCTGACTACAGGGCAAGGCCAGTTCGGGCACCCTCTCCTCTATTGCTTAGGGTCTTAGCTGGGGTCATCCTTGTGGATTCCTGGGAATTTCTCTAGAGCCATGTTTCTTGCCTACCCCATAATGCCTCTCTCAATCAAAATATCTCTTTCCTTGCCCTCATCTTTGTCCTTCT